GCAGCTCTGGGCTTTTAGACTCCCAGCACCAGGTGAGTCTGATTGGCACTCAAGTGATTTCACCTGGGCAGCTATGGAGAGACAAAAGGGGAAAAACACACACAAAACAAACACACAGCCGTAACATTATTGCTTCCTAAGAAAAGCAGACAAACAGTTCAGCTGAGTTCCTTATGGTGGACGCTCAGAAATCTCTTTTAATCTTCTCCAATCCTCCTGTCAACAGCCCCTGGGCAGAGCTGGACTCTCTCCTGTCCCTCACATATTAGCCTAGCTCTGAGTCTGGGACCACCAGATTAACGCTCAAATCAATTAGATCCAGCAACAGATGAGTCAATCACCCCCCACCCCCCACCACACCCACTCAGCGAGAACCCCCAAGGACTTCTGAGGATTATAACAGACTTTGGTGGTGTTTATGCTCCACGTCTCACAGGGGAAAGGAAGTGGGAGGGGTGTTTGGCAGTCTTCATGAGGGCAGAGTTTGGCTGTGTCCGAAATGGCCTACTACTCCTACTACTCCTACTAACCCCGCCTCTGAATTGAGTAGGCAGTGCATTCACATTGTACAGTATGCGAATTTTGTGTATGCGAGAAATGCCCGGATGTATACTCAATCAGCTTCGATTTCTGAGTGTGGAACAGAGCTTGCTTCACGTACTGCTTCTGCCCCACAATGCATTGCGCACCTCAGCTGGTAATATGGCCCTCTTTACCGAGGCTGAAAAGAAATAGATGGCATGTGATTGCATTAATAATTATATATACATTTATATATATAAATAGATAAACAATATTTAGTCAGTATACATTACACAATTTTTATCATTTTATCATATTTTGATCTTTTTACCAGATTTATTTGTATTTTAAATTAGGATTATAGGTAATGTTTTTAACTATTCGTATGAATTGACTATTTATTTAAGCGTCTATTAAAGATGTATTTATTACATCAAGTTTGAGCATCTTCTCATCTCTGAATGCATCATCAAAGTGGTCGCTCATATTAAGTACAGACCTCTGATTAATAAAAATTATCTTTGGTAGAGAGCACATGGTTCAGAATATACAAACGGGGGAGTTCCCAGTTGACAATGTATATGTGAGCTTTACTAATTCTTACTTGTGGTTGAAAATCTGATGGTTTCTGAAATTATCGTTGTACAGGAAAAGAATATAGTTGGGAAATGATGTATTTGCCAAGGAATAACCGAACAAGGTCGTAATAATTATGTTGTGTGTTGGTCATTTTGCAGCCCTCTACTGCTCATCACACACCTAGCAGGTGGTGTATAGCATTATCACCATGGATACACAGATGTTTGTGTGATTTTTTTCATCCACAGCCGCCTGGTTTGTGTCGTGTAGATGTTGATTATGAAAACACTTCGCAATAATTTGGAAACGTGAAGGGGGAGCTGCTGCTGCTGCCCGGTGTTTACGGTAAATAGACGCAAACACCCACCAAGCGGACGCTTCAGTCTCCAAAAACGCAGAGACAAATTTACAAACAGCCACTATTTCAAACAACTGGGCTCATAATCGTGATGTAAACACTTACTTTCTCGCTAGAAAAAATATTATTATTGAATGAATTTATATAATTTGTCCGGAATGCAGTCGTTCTGTGTAGCTTGTGGTAGGACTATTTAAATGTTCCCAGCGCTGCGTCCGGCCGGCACGAAATGCATTCTGGGGTTTTTAGTATGCATCTGTATGTAAACACTCGGGCAGCCGCGGCATACTCAAATCATCTTTGAGTAGTCAGTAGGCAGTAGCTACTGCTTGAGTAGGTAAGTAGATAGTAGGCAGTATGCCATTTCGGACACAGCCTTTGTCTAGAAGCAGAGGAGGTGTGACGCCAACCATAGAAAGGTCAAATGATAGCACAAGAGGATGTTCTACACCTGCTCTGTTAGTGAAGCATAATGAGGTAACCTTTGGTGCAACTGAATGATTGATTGATTGATTGATTGATTGATTGATTGATTGATTGATTGATTGATTGAAACCCTCCCTACAATGACAGTCACAGTGTGTTTGCCTCTAAGCAGCTTTGGAAGGAGGGTAAGAGGAGGTGAAAAAAGGTTGCACTCATAACCCTTGTGCTGCCCTTCAGGGTCAAAAAGACCCAGTCAGGATACCCTTGCCCTTGTGGGGTCAATTTAGCCTCCAGTCAGCGTGGACTAAGATAACCCATGACTCCTGATTGTTTTCCTGCCTGGGTCGAATAGACCCTGTCAAGTATGAATTTGAGAATCGTAAACTCATGCCCCTGCCCTCAGCAGGGTCAAATATACCCCACCGTGTTGTACATAGACTTTTTTTTTTACTCATTTGAACTCATGACTCCTGACATTCCAGCGTGCATCTCAAACAGCATACACCCCTGGACCTGATTCTAGCTCGTCTCCCCGCTTACAACAGATTACACAGTACAAGTGTTTTTTTTTTTTTAATGAGTGAAGTGAAGCACTGTATAATAAATAATAATAATAATAATAATTTGTTTTTGTTGTTGTTGTTATTGTTGATATTGTTGTTTCAGGTTGTTTTGTATAACTTTACAAAACAACCGTAGAGGAGAGACTAGAGTACAGTAAGTAGTCTATATCTATCTATCTATCTATCTATCTATCTATCTATCTATCTATCTATCTATGTAAAGATATAAATATATTTTTATATATATATATATATATATATATATATATATATATATAATTGTTTTTGTTCATCTTCTTGCTCTGTGTGCTTTTAAAGCAAGGGAATGGCTGTACTAGCTCCAACTAAAAATGTGAATGCGTGGTCATGTAGGATATTGTGAATTCCTAGAAAAAAAAAAAATCTGTTTGGATTTTAGATCAACTCAGAAATCCAGTCAAAGAATGTAGTTTCTTATCTCCCCCTCTACCCTAGTGTGAGATAAGTTGTTCCACTACGGCAGTGGTTCTCAAACTTTTTTTGTCATTCCCCTATTTGGAGGAAGAAAAAATTTCATTCCCCCCTACCCCAACAAAATTGTGACAAAATAGGCCATGTATAACTTTATTGACATAACATTCCTTCTGCTGTGTTTCTCAAAACTAGAAAACAAACGTGCATTTATGTTGCAAGAACAATAATAATCAAACAATATCAAGTTGAGTAAGTACAAAAAATCCTGTGAATCCAAGAGCAAGATAGTAAGATAGCTTCATCATATTTCCTTGACTCGGCTTTTTGTTGGTTTGGCCTACCGTCATCTAGGCATGCTGTATTGCTGACTTCAGCTTTTCTTTTCATCCCTGTCAAATATCTCTCCATTCTGTACTTTTATATACAATTTATTATTTTGACCTGAACACAGTTGCTGGTTGTTTCGGTGACAGGTGAAAGCGCGGGTTGTCCGCCGCTAAAAAAATTCCGACGTCCGAACATTGGTTCCGTGGCACGGACTCTGCACAACGTGAAACGGAGCAGCTTCAGCTCCTCTCAGAGCTCTCCACAGCAAGAGGAGCGGAGCAGCTGCTGGCATAGCACAGCGTCGGTGGTTATCTCCGCCCTGGTTTCTGAGCTAGTTCCCACCATGAATTAGCACAGCAGAAAGCGTCTTTGTACGCTTTCAGGAGGACATTTTACAGGTGGGGATAGCAGCATACTTAACAGGTGTTATGCCATAGAATGCACCCCCTGCATCCCCTCCACTTGTTAGTTTCTTAAAGTGGAAGAAAATGATCTCATATTTTAAAAAATATGACTATTTGATCGTGACAACTTTCTGTTTTTATGTGTCTCAGAAATGCACATACGGAGGTGTGCTTGGGTATATAAACTGTCCAGTAAGCTGTCAAGCTAGCGAACATTATATTTTCGGGATAGCAAATATTCCGAATCAGAGGGCTATTTTTTCGGGTTATCTGAATAGCCTGAATGAAATTATTAAAGGCACACGCTTTTGAATTCATCCAATGGTAAGGAAAACTTGAATTATTTTTGCCTTGTTAAGTACTTTCAACCGCGCTCCCGACTGGGGGGGGGGCTTTTACAGCAGGGGTGCATTCTACGGCACAACACCAGACAAGTATCTCGCCTTGAGCGTCCACCACAACAAACGCTGCTTCTTCGCGGTAAAATAAAGAAACAAGGTTTAGGGCCCTGGACTCCCCCTACTGGTGTGGCGACTTCAGTATGGCGCATGCGTGACGAGCGCGGTGCTTGCACAGGAGGTGCCGCGCTATCGCGGGTGCACACCAACCTATTTGTAGCCGGGTGACTCGCGCCCCCCCAGGGATGGCTCCATGCTCCCCCCAGGGGGGCGGGCCACACACTTTGAGAAACACTGCACTAGGGAAACAAATTAGAGAAACTACACCAGGATACATTGTGCCATTGATAGTAAAATAGAATATGACTTTTTCTTTTAAGTTACTTTGCTCATTTCTCGGTCATAGAAATTCTACTTTAGATGGTTAAAAAAAAGGGAGAGAAAACGTTTCTTCCCTAATTAAGCCTATCCCTTAAGCCACATTTCTCTCTCTTCTTTGCAGGCCGAGTGAAATGGATGTCTCTCTCCACTACCACTGAATTGTGCAGTCGTTTGGTGTATCTCTGTGCCGTGAATTTGCTCTGCTCTTACGCTGAGTTGCATTCAATCATTCGTTAGCTCACCTTTCTGACTGAACGATTCGTATCGCTTGAACTTAGCTTTTTTTTGTGTGTAATCGTAAGAGCATGACAAATACATGACAGAAACTAGTCTTTGAATCCGCACACACCCCACCTGTGATGCACAAAAAGCGCGGTGGAGGGTTGAGAAAGTCGGGATTGCTAAAGACTGCGTCTACCGCCTTCTGAGTTTCTAAAAACAGCCACTGCTGAGCGGCGAGGACAGCGCTCACGAGACAAAAAGGTCAACTTGCCCGCAGCTCCTTCGGCTTGTAAATATATATATATATATATATATATAAATATATATATATATATATGTAGGTTTGAAGTGGCTCAAAAGAGCGTGATGCTATTGTATATTTTTGTGCTAATCGCAAGTTTAATTGTCTTAATATCCATGTTCAATCTTAATTGTTTGATCTGGATGTTTGACAGAGAACATTTGTTTTAGGGTGTACCCACCTGGCTTGAATTGCATGTATGTGTGTGTGTGTGTGTGTGTGTGTGTGTGTGTGTGTGTGTGTGTGTGTGTGTGTGTGTTTTCTACACTGCCTGTGTATTGTTTCCTTTTTTTTTGTTTGTTTTTTGTTTACAGTGCCCTCTGCATGACTGGCCATCCAGTGAGGGATGGAAAGAGAGAGAGAGAAAGAAAGAGACAAAGGTTTCCCAGATTTTTTTTTTTTTCATTTATTTTTATTTCTAAGAGCAGAAAATATTGTAAAGCTGTCTGAACGCCAACAGAAAGAAAAGGTTTGTACATAAAAAAGTGTTTTACAAATGAAAAGAAAAATAATTTTAAAAAAAAACTACACCTTGCTTCATCATACAATTTTTTTTCCTTTTCTTACTGCAGTGTCCAAGGCTTGGTGAGGCTGAGCGAAGAGGACAACGCCTGGGCTCCAGAGGCACGAGTCGGCACCCCACCATACGGAGTGAAATGACTCTATCACTCTGTCAGTTGTAAAACACCAAAGTTTGAATTGTATAGTCAGCAGAGGTTGTAGAGTGTTGGAGTTGTCATGTCATCTCTAAGCCAACGTGTCTGTTCTTCTCTTCCACTAAACCCGTTGCATTTACTTGGCACGGGGGGGGGGGGGGGGGGGGGGGGTACATCACAAAATGTGGACTCGATATCACTGACTGTACTAGCCTTTATGATTATGTGTTTCAATCTGTCTGTGTTAAGGTTTATATGATCCTGTAAGGGATGATGAAAGAAATAAAGAGACCAAACTGTTTCCAGTATTTCATATTACTTTTCTTCTGTTGATGTGTGGGTTCAAGGGCGGAAAATATTGTTTGGATGCTGTCTGAACACCAATGAGACTACATGTTTTGTAAAAGATAAAGTGCTGCACAAATAAGATTTAAAAAAAACAATGTTTACTGCAATGTGCAACGAACAATTCCCAAAAGAAAAGTGCAGTGTGTGTCTGAATAGATCAAGTTTATAGCAAGTTGAGTCACATCTCCGTAAAACCGTACTACACCTACATAAAACTTGTACTACTAACTAATCCTTGTCCTAATACAGCATTACAACAATAACTACTAAAACAACAACAAAAACAAAAAATAAAACAATACTGCACTGCAGCCATGACTCGAGCGATTACCGCTATTCAGGTCATGCAACAGATGTTGTCAAATGCATTCTCTGATGATGCCAATCCCGATGAAGAAGCAGAGGGTGTGTCTGAGGAGGAGGATTATGAGGCAAGTAACCAACCGAACAGGGAAGATGAAGAACAAGAAGAAGAGGAAGGAAAAGAAGAAGAAATGGTAAAATTAGAAGACAGAGAGGAGCAAATGGAAAGAGAGGTAGAAGAGGAAGGAGAGCATGAAGAAGAACAAGGGGTAACGGAAGAAAGAGAGGAGCAAATGGACAGAGAGGGGGAAGAGGATGAAGAAGAAGAAGGGGTAATAGCAGGAGAGAGAGAGGAGCAAGGGAAAGAAGGTTTGTTTTTTTCTCTCAAAACACAACAAAATCATATGGTCCTCTGTAGCGTATGATAAACAAGAGCAGGGTAGAAAAGACAGGAGCAGTGAGGCTACGCTGCCCCCGTCCCCGCTGATGCCATCATCGCTGTTACCACCGACAACTGGCCCACCCGGACCGACTGAATATTCTCTCGTCCACGCCCGCGACATTGCCTTTACATTTTTCATGTTCATCACCCCGTCGATAGAACGCATCATCTTGGAGATGACTAATTTGGAGGGGAGACAGAAAATCGGAGATGGCTGGCATGGATGCCATTGACCTTCACACCTACATAGGGCTGCTGCTTTTAGCCGGCGACAGATCCCGAGGTGAGGCGACTGCCAGTCTGTGGGACGCTGAGAGCGGACGGTCCATCTTCAGCGCCACAATGCCACTGAAAGTGTTTCACGCCTACTCTAGACTGCTGAGATTCGACGACCACGAGTCGAGACCCACCAGACGCGCGGCTGACAAACTGGCGGCCGTAAGAGAGGTCTGGGACATGTGGTCTGAGCGGCTGCCGTACCTCTACAACCCCAGGTTATTTCTTTACTGGATCAACCCCCCCCCAGTCAGTCTTGGACTGGGACAGTGTGACCCATGAGATGTGGGATGCAGGTTTACTGTGTGAGGACTACAGGACCTTTCACTGGGTCAAAAAGACCCCAATCAGTGTGGACTGGGACAGTGTGACCCTTGAGACATGGGATGTAGGTCTTAACTTGAGGACAACAGGAGGGTTAAAAAATAGTGAATAAATTGAATAAGCTGTTACTAATCAGTCCTGTATCTTAAGTATAGGTAGCAATCATCCCAGGTAAAGACAAACCCGATTCCCTGCAATTTACATACAGAGAACACAATGTAGTGGATGTTGCTGTGCTCTACATACTTCACCGTGCCCTGTCTCATCTGGAGGAACCTGGAGTTTATGTGAGCATCATGTTTTTTGACTTTGCAAGAGCATTCAACACCATCCAACCCACCATACCTGACAGGAAGACCACAGTTTGTCAGGTTGGGGAACTGTGTGTCTGGGACATTAATGAGCAGTACAGGGGTTCCACAAGGGACATTCCTGGCTCCATTCCTGTTCACACTGTATACATCAGACTTCAAATACAGCACCGAGTCCTGCCACATCCAGAAATACTCAGATGACACTGCTATCATGGCAATTATCAGAAATGGAAAAGATGCTGGAAAAGAGATCTGATAAGAGCCTTCAGTGATTGGAGTGACAAAAACTGCTTCCAACTCAACACCTCAAAGACAAAAAAAATGATCATAGATTCCGCCAATCCAAACCCCCTCTTCAGCCAGTAAACACCTGTGGAGTGGACATCGAAGTGGGGACATCATATAAATACTTAGGTGTACATCTGGAATAATAAGTTGGACTGGTCTAAGAATATAGACATCTACAGAAAGGGGCAGAGCCGCCTCTTTTGCCTGAGAAGACTCAGATCAATAGACATTTGTAGTAAGATGCTGCAGATGTTTTATCAGTCTGTGGTGGCAAGTGTTGTGTTCTACGCTGCAGTCTGCTGGGGAGGAAGCATCAAACACAAAGATGCAAATTGCAAAGATGCAAGATGCATCTTAACAAACTGGTGAAAAAGGCTGGCTCTGTGGTAGGACTCAAGCTGGACTCAGTGGAGGATGTGGTGGAGAGATCTACCCTGAGGAAGGTGGAGTCTATTCCAAAGAACATGGATCACTCACTTCACAAGTCTTTGATGGACCAAAAGGGCCAATGGTGGTGGATGGCTCCTGTCTCTTCGCTGCAGGACAGAAAGATTCAGAAGATCTTTTGTACGAACAGCCATCAGACTTTATAACTCTTATGTAAATAATAGATAACTTTTATAGACATATTTTGTGAGACAACAGACAATTGAATTTCCCTTCGGGGAGCAATGAAGTTCTTCTTATATCTTATATCATCTTCTTATGCTTGAAGTCTAAAGATCATGATAGGCAACTTCGGAGGCTCTCATGGAGCTCAACCTCTGGCAATACTTCAACACACCTTTATATGTTATGAAATACCAATAACACATGTTATTTTAGCATTCAGCCATCGTACTTCACTTCACTGTTCACCTAATTCATGATCTTCGATAAATCAGATGTTATCTATGGATAAGTTTGGCAGCTTTGTTGAAGATCACTGGTTAACAGTAACAAACGAAATGGTACAGTGTGCTCAACTATGGTAAAATCCACTCACTCGTGAGTTTTTCAGCACTAAACACTGTGTGTTCCCATAACATTCAGGGGCCTTTTGTCATCCCACAGAGGATTGGTGTATCTCCAGAGACTGTTTAGATCCAATACCTGAAACACAAAGTTAATCAAATCCACTTGAATTGATGGGAGAATCCATAAAGAATTGGACTGTTATGTATCATTGATAATGGCATTGGTATCAATAACATCTTATCAATTTCCACTCCTAAACATTAATGACTGATCATTTCTCTGTTTCTATGTGGACAATAAAATGTTTCTATTCAACAAACAGCTCAGCCCTTCATTCCATTTAAGACAATGACAATCCACATTCTGTTGTTTATTCTCAGAGCCAGAGCAGCTCCTAAACTGTCTCTTATATACCTCCCAAAACCTGCTCCTCTTGCTTTTATTATTGCACTCTTGCATCCATCACTGTGGCATTTTTGCACTGTTAGACTTACTCTCTACTGCTGTCTCTGCACACTCTGGTTTTTGCAATGGTGCAGTTGCCTTTATCCTTGCACATTTGCACAGACTTGACTACCTCTGCTGTCACTATTCAGTTTTGATTTATTCTTGTCATTTTTTAATTTTGTCTGTTTTTTCATGTTGCACTGATGGAGTGTCAATTTTATTGGAGTCAGTGCAATAAAGATATTATTTTCTTGTGTGGGATTTCAGAGTCTTATCAGTTGGTGTAACACTTATCAAAAGCCAAGTATATGGTAATCAACCCATTTAACCCACCCAACTTGTGGCCAAATTTTTCTCAGTGTTTGTATAAACATATTGTGGTGTGAAGAAGTGTTTGTCCCCTTCCTGATTTCTTATTTTTTTGCATGTTTGTCACACTTAAATGTTTCAGATCATCACTTGATTGCAGTTGTTGCCGTTTAGGGTGGCCCAACCAGTTATTAGGGTTTAGGGAGCGATGACTTTTTAACACGTCCATGTAGCTTTGATTTTTTTTTTCTCCTTTAAAAATAAAAACCTTCATTTAAAAACTGCATTTTGTGTTCTCTTGTGTTGTCTTTGACTAATATTTAAACTTTTTTTAAGATCTGAATCATTTAAATGTGACAAACACCTATCAAACCTACCATAATTTGGATTAATACACCCATAGACAAGACTTGTGTCTACACATTCTAAGGTAAGGGGTTTCTTGGTGAAAGTATGCCAGAGATGAAGCTGTTTGAAAACTCCAATAACATATATATTTTTTTTCTTTTTTGGCTCATTTCATTGACTTCAATGCAAAAATTTTCTGCAGTTTGTCCAACCGCCCTCAAGCTGGAGGACTATTGTAAATCAAATTTTGTCCGGAAGAGGATAAAGGAAATATCCACAGCATAACAAAAGTGCCTCATGCTTTGCTAATTATATAAACTGATTTAATTTTAGAATGTTTTGATTTAAATTTGAAAAAAAAAAATGGAATGCTTTATGTCTTGATGTCATCAAACGGTGATGTCATAACAGTGATGACATCACAGTGATGTCATCACTTTGAAAGGTATATGAGATCAGAACCTCCAGCATGTACTCCAAGTCCAGCCATCAGAGCTAGACATACAGAGACTCACAGAGACCCACAGTGAACCACAGCGTCCACAAATTTGATCATGTCTGCTTACCTCATGTCCAGAAATTGCATTGTGTCCACAATGAGTATGAGCCAGAAGAAGGATGCCAGAAAAGGCAGAAACAAAAAGAAGAACATGGTCACCGTACCCATTGTGAAGCCTTCTGCTGACCCTTATGCAAACCTGGTGCCAGCAGATTTGTACGACCTGGATGATTCAGAAGACGAGTTTGGTGAGGATAAAAACCAAAAACACAGGATCGAGGATACGTCTGTGAATCAACGGAGATAGTCCTTGAGCCAAGAACCAAAATTTCACATATCGGTACCACCTGGGTGGGCAAATTCTAGTTGTGATTTCTCTATTGCTATACATCCCTACAATAAGTTTTTAAATGATAGACCTTGGTAACTGGTAGCTTTATTGTAGTTATCACTTATTAAAGTAATAGAGTGCAGCTGTTCAAAAACGAAAAATCGCCTTCCTTCAAAATCAGCTTTCTTTCATTTTAACCTCTCATTTAGGTGTGTTTGAACTATTGGCTAGCCATAGAGACTTGTATTAACCCCCTAAGTAGTATTTCAAGTAATTTATCTAATACAGGTGTGTATATATAAGCTTCAATTAGCCAATTGTCAGGTCTAAATCAAGGTCTAAATTAAGGATATTTTTTGACTTAGAAGTAGAAGTAAAATAAATGCAGACTAATAGCATTATTATAACACAACTTTAATATGACACTGACATATTTTAAATGTAGGCACTCAATATACAATCATCCTGGCTGGTGCAGGGCAAGAAGACATTAGCAACAAAATACGATCTACTGATGTATACGCTCTATACAATCATCTGAGAAAAACTCAAATTCCTATTCAAAGTCCTATTCTTTCCATAAGGAACAGTGACAGCAAATATGACTGTCAAGTTTTGGCTTAGTACATAATACTGTCACTGAGTCACAGTGGGTCTGTTAACATAGCTCCCTTTGGTCATCGTTTATTAATCAACATCAGTAATCGACATCAGTATCTGTATCTTCTTCTACATCTGAATCTGCCGGTGTGCAAGGGGCTCTTCCTCACTGTATTGGTTGGCACAAGTTTGTAATTTGCACAGGTTTGTGCGCTTCAGCCCATTGCTGAGACAGGTGCAGTCTGGTGGTTTGCATGTCCTCACACACTTTGCTGTCACTGTTCCTTATGGAAAGAATAGGACTTTGAATAGGAATTTGAGTTTTTCTCAGATGATTGTACAGAGTGTATACATCAGAAGATCTTATTTTGTTGCTAATGTCTTCTTGCCCTGCACCAGCCAGGATGATTGTTTATTGAGTGCCTGCATTTAAAATATGTCAGTGTCATATTAAAGTTGTGTTATTATAATGCTATTAGTCTGCATTTACTTTACTTTACTTCTAAGTAAAAAATGTAGACCTGACAATTGGCTAATTGAAGCTTATATATACACACCTGTATTAGATAAATTACTTGAAATACTACTTAGGGGGTTAATACAAGTCTCTATGGCTAGCCAATAGTTCAAACACACCTAAATGAGAGGATAAAATGAAAGAAAGCTAATTTTGAAGGAAGGCGATTTTTCATTTTTGAAAGCTGCACTCTATTACTTTAATGAGTGATAACTACAATAAAGCTACCAGTTACCAAGGTCTATCATATAAAAACTTATTGTAGGGATGTATAGCAATAAAAAAATCACAACTAGAATTTGCCCACCCAGGTGGTACCGATATGTGAAATTTTGGTTCTTGGCTCAAGTGCTATGATACCTGAAAGAACTGCTCCACCATCAAATTGGGCCACTCCCACTTCATCAACTCATTTAATTAGACACAGGTTTGATTCATTTATAGAAAAGAGCAGTGTGACCCAAAAAGAGTATGACTTTTAATGTGCTTTTGACTTTCTGTGTTGCTTTTGGAGTTAACAAAAATTCTCCGATTGAGGAAAATAACAAAATGAGAAAAAATATAAAAAGCTACCCCTATGAAAAGTCTATCATATTTTAATTTACTTATATTGACCCTAAAAAAAATTTTGTATATGTAAGGTTTTGCCCACCCAAGTGGTACCGACATCTGGTCTGGCTCATGGACTAAGAGGAAAAGAAGAGCGCTCTCCTGATCCGACTAGCCTCTGAGGCTACAGCCGAAGATGATCTCGACGAGGGAGACACTGAAGGTGAGTATAAGAACCAAAAACACAGGATCGAGGATACGACTGTGAATAAACGGAGAGAGAAAAAAAGCGCTCTCCTGATCCCGCTAGCCTCTGAGGCTACAGCCGAAGATAATCTCGACGAAGTAAAAAAGGGCAGACTGCGGTGGAGCGAGGACGACGAGGGAAACACTGAAGGTGAGTATAAAAACCAAAAACACAGGATCGAGGATACGACTGTGAATCAACGGAGAGGGAAAAAAAAGCGCTCTCCTGATCCAGCTAGCCTCTGAGGCTACAGCTGTAGACGATCTCGACGAGGGAAAAACACTGAAGGTGAGTATAAAAATCAAAAACACAGGATCGAGGAAAAGGCTGTGAATCAACGGAGAGGAAAAGAATAGCACTCTCCTGATCCGCCTCTGCGGCTTCAGCCGTAGATGATCTCGACGAGGGAAAAATACTGAAGGTGAGTATAAAAACAGAAAACAAAGGATCGAGGATACGACTGTTAATCAACAGAGAGGAAAAAGCGCTCTCTATCTGGCTAGCTAGCAGCTACAGCCATAGACGATCTCGACGAGGGAGACACTGAAGGTGAGTATAAAAATCAAGTACACAGGTCTGAGGATACGTCTGTGAATCAACGGAGAGGAAAAAGCGCTATCCAGATCTGGCTAGCTAGCGGCTACAGCGGTAGACGATCTCAATAAGGGGAAAATACTGAAGGTGAGTATGAAAACCAAAAACACAGGATCGAGGATACGACTGTGAATCAACGGAGAGAAAAAAAAAGTGCTCTCCCGATCCAGCTAGCCTCTGAGGCTACAGCCGAAGATAATCTCGACGAGGGAAAAACACTGAAGGTGAGTATAAAAACCAAAAACACAGGATCGAGGAAAAGGCTGTGATTCAACGGAGAGGAAAAAGCGCTGTCCTGATCCTGCTAGCCTCTGAGGCTACAGCCGAAGACGATCTCGACGAGGGAAAAACACTGAAGGTGAGTATAAGAACCAAAAACACAGGATCGAGGATACGACTGTGAATCAACGGAGAGAAAAAAAAAGCGCTCTCCTGATCCGGCAAGCCTCTGAAGCTACAGCCGAAAACGATCTCGACGAGGGAGACACTGAAGGTGAGTATAAAAATCAAGTACACAGGTCCGAGGATACGTCTGTGAATCAACGGAGAGGAAAAAGCGCTATCCAGATCTGGCTGGCTAGCGGCTACAGCGGTAGACGATCTCAATAAGGGGAAAATACTGAAGCTGAGTATAAAAACCAAAAACACAGGATCGAGGATACGACTGTGAATCAACGGAGAGAAAAAAAAAGTGCTCTCCCGATCCCGCTAGCCTCTGAAGCTACAGCCGAAGACGATCTCGACGAGGGAGACACTGAAGGTGAGTATAAAAACCAAAAACACAGGATCGAGGATACGACTGTGAATCAACGGAGAGGAAAAAAAAGTGCTCTCCTGATCCGGCTAGCCACTGCGGCTACAGCCGAAGACGATCTCGACTAGGGAAAAAAAATGAAGGTGAGTATAAAAACCAAAAACACAGGATCTAGGATACGACTGTGAATCAACAGAGAGAGAAAAAAAAAGCGCTATCCTGATCCGGCTAGCCACTGCGGCTACAGCCGAAGATAATCCGACGAGGGAGACACTGAAGGTGAGCATAAAAACCAAAAACAAAGGATCGAGGATATGTCTGTGAATCAACGGAGAGGAAAAAGCGCTATCCTGATCTGGCTAGCTAGCGGCTACAGCCATAGACGATCTCGACGAGGGAAAAAAACTGAATGTGAGTATTAAAAACCAAATACACAGGATCGAGGACTCGACTGTGAATCAACAGAGAGAAAAAAAAAAGCGCTCTCCTGATCCGGCTAGCCTCTGCGGCTACAGCCGAAGAGAATCTCGACGAAGTAAAAAAGGGCAGACTGCGGCTGAGCGAGGACGACGAGGGAAAAACACTGAAGGTGAGTATAAAAACCAAAAACACAGGATCGAGGATACGACTGTGAATCAACAGAGAGAAAAAAAAAAGCGCTATCCTGATCCGGCTAGCCACTGCGGCTACAGCCGAAGATAATCCGACGAGGGAGACACTGAAGGTGAGCATAAAAACCAAAAACAAAGGATCGAGGATATGTCTGTGAATCAACGGAGAGGAAAAAGCGCTATCCTGATCTGGCTAGCTAGCGGCTACAGCCATAGACGATCTCGACGAGGGAAAAAAACTGAATGTGAGTATTAAAAACCAAATACACAGGATCGAGGACTCGACTGTGAATCAACAGAGAGAAAAAAAAAGCGCTCTCCTGATCCGGCTAGCCTCTGCGGCTACAGCCGAAGAGAATCTCGACGAAGTAAAAAAGGGCAGACTGCGGCTGAGCGAGGACGACGAGGGAAAAACACTGAAGGTGAGTATAAAAACCAAAAACACAGGATCGAGGAAAAGGCTTTGAATCAACGGAGAGGAAAGAAAAGTGCTCTCCTGATCCAGCTAGCCTCTGAGGGTACAGCCGAAGACGATCTCGACGAGGGAAAAACACTGAAGGTGAGTATAAGAACCAAAAACGCAGGAACGAGGATATGACTGTGAATCAACGGAGAGAAAAAAAAAGCGCTCTCCTGATCCCGCTAGCCTTTGCGGCTACAGCCGAAGACTATCTCGACGAGGGAAAAACACTGAAGGTGAGAATAAAACACCAAAAACACAGGATCGAGGACTCGACTGTGAATCAACAGAGAGAAAAAAAAAAGCGCTCTCCTGATCCCGCTAGCCTCTGCGGCTACAGCCGAAGAGAATCTCGACGAAGTAAAAAAGGGCAGACTGCAGCTGAGCGAGGACGACGAGGGAAACATTGAAGGTGAGTATAAAAACCAAAAACACAGGATCGAGGATACGACTGTGAATCAACGGAGAGGAAAAAAAAGTGCTCTCCTGATCCAGCTAGCCTCTGAGGCTACAGCCGTAGACGATCTCGACGAGGGAAAAACACTGAAGGTGAGTATAAAAACCAAAAACGAAGGATCGAGGATACGTCTGTAAATTAACGGAGAGGAAAAGAAAAGCGCTCTCCTGATCCCGCCTGTCTCTGTGGCTACATCCGAAGATAATCTCGACGAAGTATAAAAGGGCATACTGCGGCTGAGCGAGGACGACGAGGGAAACACTGAAGGTGAGTATAAAAACCAAAAACATTGGATCGAGGATACGACTGTGAATCAACAGAGAGGAAAAAAAAACGCGCTCCTGATCCCGCCTGCCTCTGTGGCTACATCCGAAGATAATCTCGACGAAGTATAAAAGGGCATACTGCGGCTGAGCGAGGACGACGAGGGAAACACTGAAGGTGAGTATAAAAACCAAAAACATTGGATCGAGGATACGACTGTGAATCAACAGAGAGGGAAAAAAAACGCGCTCCTGATCCGGCTAGCCTCTGCGGCTACAGCCGAAAACGATCTCGACGAGGGAGACACTGAAGGTGAGTATAAAAACCAAAAACACAGGACCGAGGATACGACTGTGAATCAACGGAGAGGAAAAAGCGCTATCCTGATCTGGCTAGCTAGCGGCTACAGCCATAGACGATCTCGACGAGGGAAAAAATCTGAAGGTGAGTATAAAAACCAATTACACAGGATCGAGCATACGACTGTGAATCAACAGAGAGAAAAAAAAAAAGCGCTATCCTGATCCGGCTAGCCTCTGAGGCTACAGCCGAAGACAATTTCGACGAGGGAGACACTGAAGGTGAGTATAAAAATCAAGTACACGGGTCCGAGGATACATCTGTGAATCAACGGAGAGGAAAAAGCGCTATCCTGATCATGCTAGCTAGCGGCTACAGCCGTAGACGATCTCGACAAGGGAGACACTGAAGGTGAGAATAAAAACCAAAAACAAAGGATCAAGGATTCGTCTGTGAATCAACGGAGAGGAAAAAGCGCTATCCTGATCTGGCTAGCTAGCGGCTACAGCCATAGACGATCTCGACGAGGGGAAAAAACTGAAGGTGAGTATAAAAACCAATTACACAGGATCTGGGATACGACTGTGAATCAACAGAGAGGAAAAAAAAACGCTCTCCTGATCCAGCTAGCCTCTGAGGCTACAGCTGAAGACAATTTCGACGAGGGAGACACTGAAGGTGAGTATAAAAACCAAAAACAAAGGATCGAGGATACGTCTGTGAGTCAACGGAGGGGAAAAGAAAAGCGCTCTCCTGATACTAGACACCAAAAACACAGGATCAAGGATTCGTCTGTGAATCAACGGAGAGGAAAAAAAAGCGCTCTCCTGATCCGGCAAGCCTCTGAAGCTACAGCCGAAAATGATCTCGACGAGGGAGACACTGAAGGTGAGTATAAAAATCAAGTACACAGGTCCGAGGATACGTCTGTGAATCAACGGAGAGGAAAAAGCGCTATCCAGATCTGGCTAGCTAGCGGCTACAGCGGTAGACGATCTCAATAAGGGGAAAATACTGAAGGTAAGTATAAAAACCAAAAACACAGGATCAAGGATTCGTCTGTGAATCAACAGAGAGGAAAAAAAAACGCTCTCCTGATCCGGCAAGCCTCTGAAGCTACAGCCGAAGACGATCTCGACGAGGGAAAAAAACTGAAGGTGAGTATAAAAACCAAAAACACAGGATCTAGGATACGACTGTGAATCAACGGAGAGAGAAAAAAAAAGCGCTATCCTGATCCGGCTAGCCACTGCGGCCACAGCCGAAGATAATCCGACGAGGGAGACACTGAAGGTGAGCATAAAAACCAAAAACAAAGGATCGAGGATATGTCTGTGAATCAACGGAGAGGAAAAAGCGCTATCCTGATCTGGCTAGCTAGCGGCTACAGCCATAGACGATCTCGATGAGGGAAAAAAACTGAATGTGAGTATAAAAACCAAAAACACAGGATCGAGGAAAAGGCTTTGAATCAACGGAGAGGAAAGAAAAGTGCTCTCCTGATCCAGCTAGCCACTGAGGCTACAGCCGAAGACGATCTCGACGAGGGAAAAACACTGAAGGTGAGTATAAGAACCAAAAACACAGGAACGAGGATACGACTGTGAATCAACGGAGAGAAAAAAAAAACGCTCTCCTGATCCTGCTAGCCTTTGCGGCTACAGCCGAAGACTATCTCGACGAGGGAAAAACACTGAAGGTGAGAATAAAACACCAAAAACACAGTATCAAGGATTCGTCTGTGAATCAACGGAGAGGAAAAAAAAGCGCTCTCCTGATCCGGCAAGCCTCTGAAGCTACAGCCGAAAACGATCTCGACGAGGGAGACACTGAAGGTGAGTATAAGAACCAAAAACACAGGATCGAGGATACGACTGTGAATCAACGGAGAGAAAAAAAAAACGCTCTCCTGATCCCGCTAGCCTTTGCGGCTACAGCCGAAGACTATCTCGACGAGGGAAAAACACTGAAGGTGAGAATAAAACACCAAAAACACAGGATCGAGGACTTGACTGTGAATCAACAGAGAGAAAAAAAAAAAGCGCTCTCCTGATCCGGCTAGCCTCTGCGGCTACAGCCGAAGAGAATCTCGACGAAGTAAAAAAGGGCAGACTGCAGCTGAGCGAGGACGACGAGGGAAACATTGAAGGTGAGTATAAAAACCAAAAACACAGGATCGAGGATACGACTGTGAATCAACGGAGAGGAAAAAAAAGTGCTCTCCTGATCCAGCTAGCCTCTGAGGCTACAGCCGTAGACAATCTCGACGAGGGAAAAACTGAAGGTGAGTATAAAAACCAAAAACACAGGATCGAGGATACGTCTGTAAATCAACGGAGAGGAAAAGAAAAGTGCTCTCCTGATCCGGCTAGCCTCTGAGGCTACAGCCGTAGACGATCTCGACGAGGGAGACACTGAAGGTGAGTATAAAAACCAAAAACACAGGACCGAGGATATGACTGTGAATCAACGGAGAGGAAAAAGCCCTATCCTGATCTGGCTAGCTAGCGGCTACAGCCATAGACGATCTCGACGAGGGAAAAAATCTGAAGGTGAGTATAAAAACCAATTACACAGGATCGAGGATACGACTGTGAATCAAAAGAGAGAGAAAAAAAAAGCGCTATCCTGATCCAGCTAGCCTCTGAGGCTACAGCCGAAGACAATTTCGACGAGGGAGACACTGAAGGTGAGTATAAAAATCAAGTACACGGGTCCGAGGATACATCTGTGAATCAACGGAGAGGAAAAAGCGCTATCCTGATCTTGCTAGCTAGCGGCTACAGCCGTAGACGATCTCGACGAGGGAAAAAACACTGAAGGTGAGTATAAAAACCACAAACACAGGACCGAGGATACGACTGTGAATCAACGGAGAGGAAAAAAAAGTGCTCTCCTGATCCAGCTAGCCTCTGAGGCTACAGGCGAAGACGATCTCGACGAGGGAGACACTGAAGGTGAGTATAAAAACCAAAAACAAAGGATCAAGGATTCGTCTGTGAATCAACGGAGAGGAAAAAGCGCTATCCTGATCTGGCTAGCTAGCGGCTACAGCTATAGACGATCTCGACGAGGGGAAAAAACTGAAGGTGAGTATAAAAACCAATTACACAGGATCGAGGATACGACTGTGAATTAATGGAGAGGAAAAGAAAAGTGCTCTCCTGATCCCGCCTGCCTCTGCGGCTACATCTGAAGATAATCTCGACGAAGTATAAAAGGGCATACTGCGGCTGAGCGAGGACGACGAGGGAAACACTGAAGGTGAGTATAAAAACCAAAAACATTGGATCGTGGATACGACTGTGAATCAACAGAGAGGAAAAAAAAACGCGCTCCTGATCCGGCTAGCCTCGCCGGCTACAGCCGAAAACGATCTCGACGAGGGAGACACTGAAGGTGAGTATAAAAACCAAAAACACAGGATCGAGGATACGTCTGTGAATCAACGGAGAGGAAAAAGTGCTATCCTGATCTGGCTAGCTAGCGGCTACAGCCATAGACGATCTCGACGAGGGAAAAAATCTGAAGGTGAGTATAAAAACCAATTACACAGGATCTAGGATACGACTGTGAATCAACGGAGAGGAAAAAAAAGCGCTCTCCTGATCCAGCTAGCCTCTGAGGCTACAGTTGAAGACAATTTTGACGAGGGAGACACTGAAGGTGAGTATAAAAACCAAAAACAAAGGATCGAGGATACGTCTGTGAGTCAACGGAGGGGAAAAGAAAAGCGCTCTCCTGATACTGCTAGCCTCTAAAAAAAAAAAAAAACTTAAAAAGGAAAAAAAAAATTCAAGAAAAATCCAGAAAAAATCAAGAATGAGATCAAAACCAAAAAAACAAAACAAAATCTATGCCCCCCCCCCCCCAGAAGGAAATTAAGAAAAAAGAAAAAAAAAAAACCCTCGTGGTTTTTCCCTCCCATTGGAGGGTTTTTTTCCCCTCCTTGAGCCACCACCTTACCGTGGTGGAGGGGTTTGTGTGTCCCAATGATCCCAGGAGCTAAGTTGTCGAGGGCTTTATGCCTAACCATGGCAAACAGGTCCTAGGGGAGGGATCAGACTAAGAGTGGCTCAAAAGGCGCCGGAGGAGATAGCACACAAACTATCATCATATGACGGATCCAACGCAATGACACTCCACAAGTTGTCCTTCAGGTCGTTAGCTTTGAAATCTTTGTGTCTTTTATCAAAAAGCACTCTTTTGGCTGACACGTAAACAATTAGCTGGTCCTCCATGTTGGATATACCAGTGAATCAGACATCACAACAGCACGCAGTCTGATTGGTCAGAAGTGGACACACAGTATGCCAATCTTGAGAAAAATTGACCATGATCAAAAAAAAAAAAAAACCCTTGTGGCTTTCTGATCCGCTCTCCTGATCCAGCTAGCCTTTGTGGTTACAGCCAAAGACGATCTCGACGAGGGAAAAAACACTGAAGGTGAGTATAAAAACCAAAAACATTGGATCAAGGATACGACTGTGAATCAACAAAGAGGAAAAAGTGCTCTCCTGATCCGGATAGCCTCTGAGGCTACAGCCGTAGACGATCTCAACGAGGGAAAAACACTGAAGGTGAGTATAAAATCCAAAAACACAGGATCGAGGATACGTCTGTGAATCAACAGAGAGGAAAAAGCGCTATCCTGATCCCGCTAGCCTCTTAGGCTACAGCCGAAAATAATCTCGACGAAGTAAAAAAGGGCATACTGCGGCTGAGCGAGGATGATGAGGGAAACACTGAAGGTTAGTATAAAAACCAAAAACACAGGATCGAGGAAAAGGCTTTGAATCAACGGAGAGGAAAAGAATCGCGCTCTCCTGATCCTGCTAGCCTCTGCGGCTACAGCCGTAGACGATCTCGACGAGGGAAAAACACTGAAGGTGAGTATAAACACCAAAAACAAAGGATCGAGGATACGACTTTGAATCAACATAGAGAAAAAAAAAGGCGCTATCCTGATCTGGCTAGCCTCTGCGGCTACAGCCGGAGAGAATCTCGACGAAGTAAAAAAGGGCAGACTGCGGCTGAGCGAGGACGACGAGGGAAACATTGAAGGTGAGTATAAAAACCAAAAACACAGGAACGAGGAAAAGGCTTTGAATCAACGGAGAGGAAAAAAAGCGCTCTCCTGATCCAGCTGGCCTCTACAGCTACAGCCGAAGACAATTTCGACCAGGGAGACACTGAAAAAACTAAGTACACAGGATCGAGGATACGACTGTGAATCGAAGGAGGGGAAAAGAAATGCGCTCTCCTGATCCGGCTAGCCTCTGCAGCTACAGCCTTAGATGATCTCAACGAGGGAAAAACACTTAAGGTGAGTATAAGAACCAAAAACACAGGATCAAGGATTCGTCTGTGAATCAACGGAGAGGAAAAAAAAGCGCTCTCCTGATCCGGCAAGCCTCTGAAGCTACAGCCGAAAATGATCTCGACGAGGGAGACACTGAAGGTGAGTATAAAAATCAAGTACACAGTTCCGAGGATACGTCTGTGAATCAACGGAGAGGAAAAAGCGCTATCCAGATCTGGCTAGCTAGCGGCTACAGCGGTAGACGATCTCAATAAGGGGAAAATACTGAAGGTGAGTATAAAAACCACAAACACAGGATCAAGGATTCGTCTGTGAATCAACAGAGAGGAAAAAAAAACGCTCTCCTGATCCGGCAAGCCTCTGAAGCTACAGCCGAAGACGATCTCGACGAGGGAAAAAAACTGAAGGTGAGTATAAAAACCAAAAACACAGGATCTAGGATACGACTGTGAATCAACGGAGAGAGAAAAAAAAAGCGCTATCCTGATCCGGCTAGCCACTGCGGCCACAGCCGAAGATAATCCGACGAGGGAGACACTGAAGGTGAGCATAAAAACCAAAAACAAAGGATCGAGGATATGTCTGTGAATCAACGGAGAGGAAAAAGCGCTATCCTGATCTGGCTAGCTAGCGGCTACAGCCATAGACGATCTCGACGAGGGAATAAAACTGAATGTGAGTATAAAAACCAAAAACACAGGATCGAGGACTCGACTGTGAATCAACAGAAAGAAAAAAAAAAGCGCTCTCCTGATCCGGCTAGCCTCTGCGGCTACAGCCAAAGAGAATCTCGACGAAGTAAAAAAGGGCAGACTGCGGCTGAGCGAGGACGACGAGGGAAAAACACTGAAGGTGAGTATAAAAACCAAAAACACAGGATCGAGGAAAAGGCTTTGAATCAACGGAGAGGAAAGAAAAGTGCTCTCCTGATCCAGCTAGCCACTGAGGCTACAGCCGAAGACAATCTCGACGAGGGAAAAACACTGAAGGTGAGTATAAGAACCAAAAACACAGGAACGAGGATACGACTGTGAATCAACGGAGAGAAAAAAAAAGCGCTCTCCTGATCCCGCTAGCCTTTGCGGCTACAGCCGAAGACTATCTCGACGAGGGAAAAACACTGAAGGTGAGAATAAAACACCAAAAACACAGTATCAAGGATTCGTCTGTGAAGCAACGGAGAGGAAAAAGCGCTATCCTGATCTGGCTAGCTAGCGGCTACATCCATAGACGATCTCGACGAGGGAATAAAACTGAATGTGAGTATAAAAACCAAAAACACAGGATCGAGGACTCGACTGTGAATCAACAGAGAGAAAAAAAAAAGCGCTCTCCTGATCCGGCTAGCCTCTGCGGCTACAGCCGAAGAGAATCTCGACGAAGTAAAAAAGGGCAGACTGCAGCTGAGCGAGGACGACGAGGGAAACATTGAAGGTGAGTATAAAAACCAAAAACACAGGATCGAGGATACGACTGTGAATCAACGGAGAGGAAAAAAAAGTGCTCTCCTGATCCAGCTAGCCTCTGAGGCTACAGCCGTAGACAATCTCGACGAGGGAAAAACTGAAGGTGAGTATAAGAACCAAAAACACAGGAACGAGGATACGACTGTGAATCAATGGAGAGAAAAAAAAAACGCTCTCCTGATCCCGCTAGCCTTTGCGGCTACAGCCGAAGACTATCTCGACGAGGGAAAAACACTGAAGGTGAGAATTAAACACCAAAAACACAGGATCGAGGACTTGACTGTGAATCAACAGAGAGAAAAAAAAAAGCGCTCTCCTGATCGGGCTAGCCTCTGCGGCTACAGCCGAAGAGAATCTTGACGAAGTAAAAAAGGGCAGACTGCAGCTGAGCGAGGACGACGAGGGAAACATTGAAGGTGAGTATAAAAACCAAAAACACAGGATCGAGGATACGACTGTGAATCAACGGAGAGGAAAAGAAAAGTGCTCTCCTGATCCGGCTAGCCTCTGAGGCTACAGCCGTAGACGATCTCGACGAGGGAGACACTGAAGGTGAGTATAAAAACCAAAAACAAAGGATCAAGGATACGTCTGTGAATCAATGGAGAGGAAAAAGTGCTATCCTGATCTGGCTAGCTAGCGGCTACAGCCATAGACGATCTCGACGAGGGAAAAAAACTGAAGGTGAGTATAAAAAACAATTACACAGGATCGAGGATTCGTCTGTGAATCAACGGAGGGGAAAAGAAAAGCGTTCTCCTGACTTGGCTAGCCACTGGAGGTGAGTATAAAAACCAATTACACAGGATTGAGGATACAACTGTGAATTAATGGAGAGGAAAAGAAAAGTGCTCTCCTGATCCCGCCTGCCTCTGCGGCTACATCCGAAGATAATCTCGACGAAGTATAAAAGGGCATACTGCGGCTGAGCGAGGACGACGAGGGAAACACTGAAGGTGAGTATAAAAACCAAAAACATTGGATCGTGGATACGACTGTGAATCAACCGAGAGGAAAAAAAAACGCTCTCCAGATCCGGCTAGCCTCTGCGGCTACAGCCGAAAACGATCTCGACGAGGGAGACACTGAAGGTGAGTATTAAAACCAAAAACACAGGATCGAGGATACGACTGTGAATCAACGGAGAGGAAAAAGTGCTATCCTGATCTGGCTAGCTAGCGGCTACAGCCATAGACAATCTCGACGAGGGAAAAAATCTGAAGGTGAGTATAAAAACCAATTACACAGGATCTAGGATACGACTGTGAATCAACGGAGAGGAAAAAAAAGCGCTCTCCTGATCCGGCTAGCCTCTGCGGCTACAGCCGAAGAGAATCTCGACGAAGTAAAAAAGGGCAGACTGCGGCTGAGCGAGGACGACGAGGGAAAAACACTGAAGGTGAGTATAAAAACCAAAAACACAGGATCGAGGAAAAGGCTTTGAATCAACGGAGAGGAAAGAAAAGTGCTCTCCTGATCCAGCTAGCCTCTGAGGCTACAGCCGAAGACGATCTCGACGAGGGAAAAACACTGAAGGTGAGTATAAGAACAAAAAACACAGGAACGAGGATACGACTGTGAATCAACGGAGAGAAAAAAAAAGCGCTCTCCTGATCCCGCTAGCCTTTGCGGCTACAGCCGAAGACTATCTCGACGAGGGAAAAACACTGAAGGTGAGAATAAAACACCAAAAACACAGGATCGAGGACTCGACTGTGAATCAACAGAGAGAAAAAAAAAAGCGCTCTCCTGATCCGGCTAGCCTCTGCGGCTACAGCCGAAGAGAATCTCGACGAAGTAAAAAAGGGCAGACTGCAGCTGAGCGAGGACGACGAGGGAAACATTGAAGGTGAGTATAAAAACCAAAAACACAGGATCGAGGATACGACTGTGAATCAACGGAGAGGAAAAAAAAGTGCTCTCCTGATCCAGCTAGCCTCTGAGGCTACAGCCGTAGACAATCTCGACGAGGGAAAAACTGAAGGTGAGTATAAAAACCAAAAACACAGGATCTAGGATACGTCTGTAAATCAACGGAGAGGAAAAAGCGCTATCCTGATCTGGCTAGCTAGCGGTTACAGCCGTAGACGATCTCGACGAGGGAAAAACACTGAAGGTGGGTATAAAAAACAAAAACGAAGGATCGAGGATACGTCTGTAAATTAACGGAGAGGAAAAGAAAAGCGCTCTCCTGATCCCGCCTGCCTCTGTGGCTACATCCGAAGATAATCTCGACGAAGTATAAAAGGGCATACTGCGGCTGAGCGAGGACGACGAGGGAAACACTGAAGGTGAGTATAAAAACCAAAAACATTGGATCGAGGATACGACTGTGAATCAACGGAGAGGAAAAAGCGCTATCCTGATCTGGCTAGCTAGCGGCTATAGCCATAGACGATCTCGACGAGGGAAAAAATCTGAAGGTGAGTATAAAAACCAATTACACAGGATCGAGCATACGACTGTGAATCAACAGAGAGAAAAAAAAAAAGCGCTATCCTGATCCGGCTAGCCTCTGAGGCTACAGCCGAAGACAATTTCGACGAGGGAGACACTGAAGGTGAGTATAAAAATCAAGTACACGGGTCCGAGGATACATCTGTGAATCAACGGAGAGGAAAAAGCGCTATCCTGATCATGCTAGCTAGCGGCTACAGCCGTAGACGATCTCGACGAGGGAGACACTGAAGGTGAGTATAAAAACCAAAAACAAAGGATCAAGGATTCGTCTGTGAATCAACGGAGAGGAAAAAGCGCTATCCTGATCTGGCTAGCTAGCGGCTACAGCCATAGACGATCTCGACGAGGGGAAAAAACTGAAGGTGAGTATAAAAACCAATTACACAGGATCTGGGATACGACTGTGAATCAACGGAGATGAAAAAAAAGCGCTCTCCTGATCCAGCTAGCCTCTGAGGCTACAGCTGAAGACAATTTCGACGAGGGAGACACTGAAGGTGAGTATAAAAACCAAAAACAAAGGATCGAGGATACGTCTGTGAGTCAACGGAGGGGAAAAGAAAAGCGCTCTCCTGATACTAGACACCAAAAACACAGGATCAAGGATTTGTCTGTGAATCAACAGAGAGGAAAAAAAAACGCTCTCCTGATCCGGCTAGCCACTGCGGCCACAGCCGAAGATAATCCGACGAGGGAGACACTGAAGGTGAGCATAAAAACCAAAAACAAAGGATCGAGGATATGTCTGTGAATCAACGGAGAGGAAAAAGCGCTATCCTGATCTGGCTAGCTAGCGGCTACAGCCATAGACGATCTCGACGAGGGAAAAAAACTGAATGTGAGTATAAAAACCAAAAACACAGGATCGAGGACTCGACTGTGAATCAACAGAGAGAGAAAAAAAAGCGCTCTCCTGATCCGGCTAGCCTCTGCGGCTACAGCCGAAGAGAATCTCGACGAAGTAAAAAAGGGCAGACTGCGGCTGAGCGAGGACGACGAGGGAAAAACACTGAAGGTGAGTATAAAAACCAAAAACACAGGATCGAGGAAAAGGCTTTGAATCAACGGAGAGGAAAGAAAAGTGCTCTCCTGATCCGGATAGCCTCTGAGGCTACAGCCGAAGACGATCTCGACGAGGGAAAAACACTGAAGGTGAGAATAAAACACCAAAAACACAGTATCAAGGATTCGTCTGTGAATCAACGGAGAGGAAAAAAAAGCGCTCTCCTGATCCGGCAAGCCTCTGAAGCTACAGCCGAAAACGATCTCGACGAGGGAGACATTGAAGGTGAGTATAAGAACCAAAAACACAGGATCGAGGATACGACTGTGAATCAACGGAGAGAAAAAAAAACCGCTCTCCTGATCCCGCTAGCCTCTGAGGCTACAGCCGAAGAGAATCTCGACGAAGTAAAAAAGGGCAGACTGCAGCTGAGCGAGGACGACGAGGGAAACATTGAAGGTGAGTATAAAAACCAAAAACACAGGATCGAGGATACGTCTGTAAATCAATGGAGAGGAAAAGAAAAGTGCTCTCCTGATCCGGCTAGCCTCTGAGGCTACAGCCGTAGACAATCTCGACGAGGGAAAAACTGAAGGTGAGTATAAAAACCAAAAACACAGGATCGAGGATACGTCTGTAAATCAACGGAGAGGAAAAGAAAAGTGCTCTCCTGATCCGGCTAGCCTCTGAGGCTACAGCCGTAGACGATCTCGACGAGGGAGACACTGAAGGTGAGTATAAAAACCAAAAACACAGGACCGAGGATACGCCTGTGAATCAACGGAGAGGAAAAAGCGCTATCCTGATCTGGCTAGCTAGCGGTTACAGCCGTAGACGATCTCGAGGAGGGAAAAAATCTGAAGGTGAGTATAAAAACCAATTACACAGGATCGAGGATACGACTGTGAATCAACAGAGAGAGAAAAAAAAAGCGCTATCCTGATCCAGCTAGCCTCTGAGGCTACAGCCGAAGACAATTTCGACGAGGGAGACACTGAAGGTGAGTATAAAAATCAAGTACACGGGTCCGAGGATACATCTGTGAATCAACGGAGAGGAAAAAGCGCTATCCTGATCTTGCTAGCTAGCGGCTACAGCCGTAGACGATCTCGACGAGGGAAAAAACACTGAAGGTGAGTATAAAAACCACAAACACAGGACCGAGGATACGACTGTGAATCAACGGAGAGGAAAAAAAAGTGCTCTCCTGATCCAGCTAGCCTCTGAGGCTACAGGCGAAGACGATCTCGACGAGGGAGACACTGAAGGTGAGTATAAAAACCAAAAACAAAGGATCAAGGATTCGTCTGTGAATCAACGGAGAGGAAAAAGCGCTATCCTGATCTGGCTAGCTAGCGGCTACAGCCATAGACGATCTCGACGAGGGGAAAAAACTGAAGGTGAGTATAAAAACCAATTACACAGGATTGAGGATACGACTGTGAATTAATGGAGAGGAAAAGAAAAGCGCTCTCCTGATCCCGCCTGCCTCTGCGGCTACATCCGAAGATAATCTCGACGAAGTATAAAAGGGCATACTGCGGCTGAGCGAGGACGACGAGGGAAACACTGAAGGTGAGTATAAAAACCAAAAACATTGGATCGTGGATACGACTGTGAATCAACCGAGAGGAAAAAAAAACGCGCTCCTGATCCGGCTAGCCTCGCCGGCTACAGCCGAAAACGATCTCGACGAGGGAGACACTGAAGGTGAGTATAAAAACCAAAAACACAGGATCGAGGATACGACTGTGAATCAACGGAGAGGAAAAAGTGCTATCCTGATCTGGCTAGCTAGCGGCTACAGCCATAGACGATCTCGACGAGGGAAAAAATCTGAAGGTGAGTATAAAAACCAATTACACAGGATCTAGGATACGACTGTGAATCAACGGAGAGGAAAAAAAAGCGCTCTCCTGATCCAGCTAGCCTCTGAGGCTACAGCTGAAGACAATTTTGACGAGGGAGACACTGAAGGTGAGTATAAAAACCAAAAACAAAGGATCGAGGATACGTCTGTGAGTCAACGGAGGGGAAAAGAAAAGCGCTCTCCTGATACTGCTAGCCTCTAAAAAAAAAAAAAAACTTAAAAAAGAAAAAAAAAATTCAAGAAAAATCCAGAAAAAATCAAGAATGAGATCAAAACCAAAAAAACAAAACAAAATCTATGCCCCCCTCCAGAAGGAAATTAAGAAAAAAGAAAAAAAAAAACCCTCGTGGTTTTTCCCTCCCATTGGAGGGTTTTTTTCCCCTCCTTGAGCCACCACCTTACCGTGGTGGAGGGGTTTGCGTGTCCCAATGATCCCAGGAGCTAAGTTGTCGAGGGCTTTATGCCTAACCATGGCAAACAGGTCCTAGGGGAGGGATCAGACTAAGAGTGGCTCAAAAGGCGCCGGAGGAGATAGCACACAAACTATCATCATATGACGGATCCAACGCAATGACACTCCACAAGTTGTCCTTCAGGTCATTAGCTTTGAAATCTTTATGTCTTTTATCAAAAAGCACTCTTTTGGCTGACACGTAAACAATTAGCTGGTCCTCCATGTTGGATATACCAGTGAATCAGACATCACAACAGCACGCAGTCTGATTGGTCAGAAGTGGACACACAGTATGCCAATCTTGAGAAAAATTGACCATGATCAAAAAAAAAAAAAAACCCTTGTGGCTTTCTGATCCGCTCTCCTGATCCAGCTAGCCTTTGTGGTTACAGCCAAAGACGATCTCGACGAGGGAAAAAACACTGAAGGTGAGTATAAAAACCACAAACACAGGATCAAGGATTCGTCTGTGAATCAACAGAGAGGAAAAAAAAACGCTCTCCTGATCCAGCAAGCCTCTGAAGCTACAGCCGAAGACGATCTCGACGAGGGAAAAACACTGAAGGTGAGTATAAAAACCAAAAACACAGGACTGAGGATACGACTGTGAATCAACGGAGAGGAAAAAAAAGTGCTCTCCTGATCCAGCTAGCCTCTGAGGCTACAGCCGTAGAAAATCTCGACAAGGGAAAAACTGAAGGTGAGTATAAAAACCAAAAACACAGAATCGAGGATATGTCTGTGAATCAACGGAGAGAGAAAAAAAAAGCGGTATCCTGATCCGGCGAGCCACTGCGGCTACAGCCGAAGATAATCCGATGAGGGAGACACTGAAGGTGAGTATAAAAACCAAAAACAAAGGATCAAGGATACGTCTGTGAATCAACGGAGAGGAAAAAGTGCTATCCTGATCTGGCTAGCTAGCGGCTACAGCCATAGAAGATCTCGACGAGGGAAAAAAACTGAAGGTGAGTATAAAAACCAATTACACAGGATTGAGGATACGACTGTGAATCAACGGAGAGGAAAAAAAGTGCTCTCCTGATCCGGCTAGCCTCTGCGGCTACAGCCGAAAACGATCTCGACGAGGGAGACACTGAAGGTGAGTATAAAAACCAAAAACAAAGGATCGAGGATACGTCTGTGAGTCAACGGAGGGGAAAAGAAAAGCGCTCTCCTGATACTGCTAGCCTCTAAAAAAAAAAAAAAACTTAAAAAAGAAAAAAAAAATTCAAGAAAAATCCAGAAAAAATCAAGAATGAGATCAAAACCAAAAAAACAAAACAAAATCTATGCCCCCCTCCAGAAGGAAATTAAGAAAAAAGAAAAAAAAAAACCCTCGTGGTTTTTCCCTCCCATTGGAGGGTTTTTTTCCCCTCCTTGAGCCACCACCTTACCGTGGTGGAGGGGTTTGCGTGTCCCAATGATCCCAGGAGCTAAGTTGTCGAGGGCTTTATGCCTAACCATGGCAAACAGGTCCTAGGGGAGGGATCAGACTAAGAGTGGCTCAAAAGGCGCCGGAGGAGATAGCACACAAACTATCATCATATGACGGATCCAACGCAATGACACTCCACAAGTTGTCCTTCAGGTCATTAGCTTTGAAATCTTTGTGTCTTTTATCAAAAAGCACTCTTTTGGCTGACACGTAAACAATTAGCTGGTCCTCCATGTTGGATATACCAGTGAATCAGACGTCACAACAGCACGCAGTCTGATTGGTCAGAAGTGGACACACAGTATGCCAATCTTGAGAAAAATTGACCATGATCAAAAAAAAAAAAAACCCTTGTGGCTTTCTGATCCGCTCTCCTGATCCAGCTAGCCTTTGTGGTTACAGCCAAAGACGATCTCGACGAGGGAGACACTGAAGGTGAGTATAAAAACCAAAAACACAGGATCGAGAATACGTCTGTGAATCAACGGAGAGGAAAAAGCGCTCTCCTGATCCCGCTAGCCTCTGACGCTACAGCCGAAGACGATCTCGACGAGGGAAAAACACTGAAGGTGAGTATAAAAACCAAATACACAGGATCGAGGATACGACTGTGAATCAACGGAGAGAGAAAAAAAAAGCGGTATGCTGATCCGGCTAGCCACTGCGGCTACAGCCGTAGACGATCTCGATGAGGGAAAAACACTGAAGGTGAGTATAAAAACCAAAAACACAGGATCGAGAATACGTCTGTGAATCAACGGAGAGGAAAAAAATGCGCTCTCCTGATCCAGCTAGCCTCTGAGGCTACAGCCGAAGACGATCTCGACGAGGGAAAAACACTGAAGGTGAGTATAAAAACCAAAAACACAGGATCGAGGATACGACTGTGAATCAACAGAGAGAAAAAAAAAGCGCTATCCTGATCCGGCTAGCCTCTGCGGCTACAGCCGTAGACGATCTCGACGAGGGAAAAACACTGAAGGTGAGTATAAAAACCAAAAACACAGGATCGAGAATACGTCTGTGAATCAACGGAGAGGAAAAAGCGCTCTCCTGATCCAGCTAGCCTCTGCAGCTACAGCCGAAGACGATCTCGACGAGGGAAAAACACTGAAGGTGAGTATAAAAACCAAATACACAGGATCGAGGATACGACTGTGAATCAACGGAGAGAGAAAAAAAAAGCGGTATCCTGATCCGGCTAGCCACTGCGGCTACAGCCGAAGATAATCCGACGAGGGAGACACTGAAGGTGAGTATAAAAACCAAAAACAAAGGATCAAGGATACGTCTGTGAATCAACAGAGAGGAAAAAGTGCTATCCTGATCTGGCTAGCTAGCGGCTACAGCCATAGACGATCTCGACGAGGGAAAAAAACTGAAGGTGAGTATAAAAACCAATTACACAGGATCGAGGATACGACTGTGAATCAACGGAGAGGAAAAAAAGCGCTCTCCTGATCCGGCTAGCCTCTGCGGCTACAGCCGAAGACGATCTTGACGAGGGAGACACTGAAGGTGAGTATAAAAACCAAAAACATTGGATCAAGGATACGACTGTGAATCAACGGAGAGGAAAAAGTGCTCTCCTGATCCGGATAGCCTCTGAGGCTACAGCCGTAGACGATCTCAACGAGGGAAAAACACTGAAGGTGAGTATAAAATCCAAAAACACAGGATCGAGGATACGTCTGTGAATCAACAGAGAGGAAAAAGCGCTATCCTGATCCCGCTAGCCTCTTAGGCTACAGCCGAAAATAATCTCGACGAAGTAAAAAAGGGCATACTGCGGCTGAGCGAGGATGATGAGGGAAACACTGAAGATTAGTATAAAAACCAAAAACACAGGATCGGGGAAAAGGCTTTGAATCAACGGAGAGGAAAAGAATCGCGCTCTCCTGATCCTGCTAGCCTCTGCGGCTACAGCCGTAGACGATCTCGACGAGGGAAAAACACTGAAGGTGAGTATAAACACCAAAAACAAAGGATCGAGGATACGACTTTGAATCAACATAGAGAAAAAAAAAGGCGCTATCCTGATCTGGCTAGCCTCTGCGGCTACAGCCGGAGAGAATCTCGACGAAGTAAAAAAGGGCAGACTGCGGCTGAGCGAGGACGACGAGGGAAACATTGAAGGTGAGTATAAAAACCAAAAACACAGGATCGAGGAAAAGGCTTTGAATCAACGGAGAGGAAAAAAAGCGCTCTCCTGATCCAGCTGGCCTCTACAGCTACAGCCGAAGACAATTTCGACCAGGGAGACACTGAAAAAACCAAGTACACAGGATCGAGGATACGACTGTGAATCGAAGGAGGGGAAAAGAAATGCGCTCTCCTGACTTGGCTAGCCACTGCGGCTACAGCCGTAGACGATCTCGACGAGGGAAAAACACTGAAGGTGAGTATAAAAACAGAAAACACAGGATCGAGGATACGACTGTGAATCGAAGGAGGGGAAAAGAAATGCGCTCTCCTGATCCGGCTAGCCTCTGCAGCTACAGCCTTAGATGATCTCAACGAGGGAAAAACACTTAAGGTGAGTATAAGAACCAGAAACACAGGATCGAGGATACGACTGTGAATCAACGGAGAGGAAAAAAAAGCGCTCTCCTGATCCAGCTAGCCTCTGAGGCTACAGCTGAAGACAATTTTGATGAGGGAGACACTGAAGGTGAGTATAAAAACCAAAAACAAAGGATCGAGGATACGTCTGTGAGTCAACGGAGGGGAAAAGAAAAGCGCTCTCCTGATACTGCTAGCCTCTAAAAAAAAAAAAAAAACTTAAAAAAGAAAAAAAAAATTCAAGAAAAATCCAGAAAAAATCAAGAATGAGATCAAAACCAAAAAAACAAAACAAAATCTATGCCCCCCCCCCCAGAAGGAAATTAAGAAAAAAGAAAAAAAAAAACCCTCGTGGTTTTTCCCTCCCATTGGAGGGTTTTTTTCCCCTCCTTGAGCCACCACCTTACCGTGGTGGAGGGGTTTGCGTGTCCCAATGATCCCAGGAGCTAAGTTGTCGAGGGCTTTATGCCTAACCATGGCAAACAGGTCCTAGGGGAGGGATCAGACTAAGAGTGGCTCAAAAGGCGCCGGAGGAGATAGCACACAAACTATCATCATATGACGGATCCAACGCAATGACTCTCCACAGGGAAAAACACTGAAGGTGAGTATAAAAACCAAAAACAAAGGATCGAGGATACGACTGTGAATCAATGGAGAGGAAAAAAAAGCGCTCTCCTGATCCAGCTAGCCTCTGAGGCTACAGCCGAAGATAATTTCGACGAGGGAAAAACACTGAAGGTGAGTATAAAAACCAAAAACACAGGATCGAGGTTTCGTCTGTAAATCAACGGAGAGGAAAAGAAAATCGCTCTCCTGATCCCGCCTGCCTCTGCAGCTACAGGAGAAGATGATCTCCACGAGGGAAATATACAGAAGGTGAGTATAAAAACCAAAAATACAGGATCGAGGATACGACTGTGAATCAAAGGAGGGGAAAAGAAATGCACTCTCCTGACTAGGCTAGCCACTGCGGCTACAGCCGAAGAGAATCTCGACGAAGTAAAAAAGGGCAGACTGCGGCTGAGCGAGGACAACGAGGGAAACACTGAAGGTGAGTATAAAAACCAAAAACACAGGATCGAGGATACGTCTGTGAGTCAACGGAGGGGAAAAGAAAAGCGCTCTCCTGATCCCGCTTGCCTCTGTGGCTACAGCCGTAGATGATCTCGACGAGGGAGACACTGAAGGTGAGTATAAAAACCAAAAACACCGAATCGAAGATACGACTGTGAATCAACGGAGAGGAAAAGAAAAGCGCTCTCCTGATACTGCTAGCCTCTAAAAAAAAAAAAAAAATTCAAGAAAAATCCAGAAAAAATCAAGAATAAAATCAAAAACTAAAAAATCTAAATCTAAAAAAAAATCAATGCCCCCCTAAAAAATAAATCAAGAAAAAAAAAAAAAAAAAAAAAAAAAACCCTTGTGGTTTTTCCCTCCCATTGGAGGGTTTTTTTCCCCTCCTTGAGCCACCACCTTACCGTGGTGGAGGGGTTTGCGTGTCCCAATGATCCCAGGAGCTAAGTTGTCGAGGGCTTTATACCTAACCATGGCAAACAGGTCCTTGGGGAGGTATCAGACTAAGGGTTGCTTATTAGGGTGTTTTTTTAGCTAGAGAGAGACAAAGACAAGTTTTGTCAGACTTTAAATAAATATGCTGGAATTTGATCTGATCAATACTATACAGAAATAATAAAATGTACTGGTATCAAACAGTACTCACAATCTGTGTGGTACCTCATTTCTTACTGCAGTGCTATCATCTAGTCTAATGCCAAGTGTACACTACAATTTGAAGTTTATTGAGCCACGATTCTTTGAATCCACACACACCCCACCTGTGATGCACAAAAAGTGCGGTGGAGGGTTGAGAATGTCCGGATTGCTAAAGACTGCGTCTACCGCCTTCTGAGTTTCTAAAAACAGCCACTGCTGAGCAGCGAGGACAGCGCCTGCGTTCACGAGACAAAAAGGTCAACTCCCCCGCAGCTCCTTCGGCTTGTAAAAATGGTTACCTAAAACTCACCTCTGCTACGCTGTCGTGAAAACGTTTGACTGAAAACCCCTGCTGTATTCCTCTATTGCACAGACTCTTTTCGCAGTACGGGCACTGGATCCGCAGAGCGAAGGAAGAGGAAATTCGTCTGTGAGGAAAAGAAAAGCGCTCTCCTGATCGGCTAGCCTCTGCAGCTAATGCCGAAGACGATCTCGACGAGGGAAAAAATGAGCAGACAGCGGCTGAGCGAAAACGACGAGGAAAACGCTGAAGGTGAGTATATAAAAAAAAAAAAAAAACAGGTGAGTATGAAAACCAAACCAAAAAAGAAACACAGGATCGAGGATTCGTCTGAGGGAGGACGGACGACAGGGGTGAGTATGAAGAAAACCAAAAACACAGGATGGAGGATTCACAAGGAGAAGAAAACAAAAGCGCTCTCCTGATCAGGCTAGCCTCTGCGGCTAAAGCCGTAGACAATCTCGATGGGGGAAAAAAGGAGAGGACTGCGGCTGAGCGTGTAGCACATGGATGGAAACTCAGGATTGAGGATTGTTCTGTGAATCAACGGAGAGGAAAAAGCGCTCTCCTGATCCAGCTGGCCTCTGCTGCTACAGCCAAAGAGGAAGGACAGACAACAGGGGTGAGTATGAAGAAAACTAAAAACACAGGATCGAGGATTGTTCTGTGAATTAACGGAGAGGGAAAAAAAAGCACTCTCCTGATCTGGCTAGCCTCTGCAGCTACAGCTGAAGACAATCTCGACGAGGTAAGAAGGAGCAGATCTGCGGCTTAGCTTGTCTCGCATGGATGGAAACTCAGGATCAAGGATACGTCTGTGAATCAACGGAGAGGAAAAAAAATAGTGCTCTATTGATCCGGCTAGCCTCTGAGGCTAAAGTCGAAGACAACCTCGACGAGGAAATTACTTAAAGGGGACCTGCCATAAAAATGTAATTTTTTGTTTTTTTTGTGTCAGATAAGGTCCATATTATGTTCGTCTTATGTTGTAAATGTGAAAACAAACGTTACGTCGTTTGCATTCTGTAAAGGTTTAAAATAAAGGAACGAGTAAACCAGGCTGATTGAAAAAGCAGGTCAATGTTACGTTGCGTTGATGTTGCTCATTATAATTCACGAGCGCGTCCTCGGTGAGCCGCGCCCACTCTCTCGTTCTCATACTCAGTCACAGCCAGAGCGAGACCCAGCTACCACTGTATCCGCTATGGGTCTCTCCCAAACGATCGGTGTTTCCTTCGGTTCACTGCCGGGAAAATGAACTTAAAGCTGGGCAGAATGAATGAGAAAACACCGCTGGAGATCTCCGGCTTCTTCCTCAACTTCCACCTCCTCTTCAGACTCGGGGTCTAAAATATATGGTTTAATACCTGCCGTTTTTAGCCTTTAGCATAAGGTGACCAGACGTCCCCGATTTCCAGGGACAGTCCCCGTATTGGATGACCTGTCCCCGGCAAAAGCTGTCCCCGAAAACGTCCCCGATTTAAGCGTTTCATTAATGAGAGCAAAAATGTTGCGTGTGGGCTCAAACAACGGTTATTACAGTAGCCAAATAGGTACGAAGCACAAGTAAGCAGTCCTGAACAACAGTTCTTATGGGGGTTATTACTAGGGGCATGCGCTGCTACTAAATAGTACCAAGACTTTGTCTGTGATCACACAGCCCCTGCAGCCCCTGCACCGCCGCCGCCGCACCGAATATCCCCGGATATCATTACAGACATCTGGGCACCTTACTTTAGCACACATTAGCATATGCTATTAGCATTAGCATAATAACAATGGATAAACCGAAATCCGAACCTCCACTGCTGAGCCAATCAGAGCACAGCAGGCTTCACAGCAGCGATCCAATCAGAGCAAAGCTCATTACCATAAATGTTAATGAGCCAAAACCAGTTGGTTTTCCTGTAAGGTTTTTTAGGCGTACTAAAACAAACCATCAAATAACTTTTCAGCTAAAATTATGTTGCAAACATGATCAGAGGACATCAAGGATTATGAAAAAATGATAAAAATGGGTATGAAATTTTGGTGGCAGGTCCCCTTTAAGGTGAGTATAAAAAACAACAACAACAACAAAAAAACAGGTGAGTAAAAAAACCAAAAACACAGGATCCAGGATTCGTCTGTGAATCAACGGAGAGCAAAAGAAAAGTGTCTCCTGATCCGGCTAGCCTCTGCGGCTACAGCCGTAGATGATCTCGACGAGGGAAAAAGGAGCAGACTGCGGTTGAGCGTAAAGCGCATAGATGGAAACTCAGGATCAAGGATTCTTCTGTGAATCAATGGAGAGGAAAAAAGCACTCTCCTGATCCGGCTAGCCTCTGCGGCTACAGCCGTAGTAGATCTCGATGAGGGAAACACTGAAGGTGAGTATAAAAACCAAAAACACATGATTGAGGATACGTCTGTGAATCAACGGAGAGGAAAAGAAAAGCGCTCTCCTAATCCGGCTAGTTTCTGCGGCTACAGCCGTAGACGATCTCGACGACGGAAAAAAGGAGCAGACTGCGACCGAGCGAGGACGACGAGGGAAACACTGAAGGTGAGTATAAAAAACAACAGAAAAAAAACAGGTGAGTATAAAAACCAAAACACAGGATTGAGGATTTTTCTGTGAATCAATGGAGAGGAAAAAGCGCTCTCCTGATCCTGAGCGAAGAGGACAACGCCTTGGCTCTAGAGGTAAGAGTCCTCCCCCCGCATATGGAGTGAAAATGACTCTATCACTCTGTCAGTTGTAAAACACCAACGTTTGAATTGTATAATCGGCAGAGGTTGGACAGTGTTGGAGTTGTTGATATCACTGACTGTATTAGCTTCTGTATGATTTTGTGTTTCAATCTGTCTGTGTCAAGGTCTATACACACACACACACACACACACACACACACACACACACACACACACATATATATATTGTAAGAAAATACACAAAAATACACTATAGCAACAAGCTCTTTTGAGCCACTTTAAAAGAGCTTGTTGCTATAGTGTATTTTTGTGCTAATCACAATTTTAATTGTCTTAATATCCATATCCAACCTTATCGTTTGATCTGGATGTTCGACAGAGAACATTTGTTTTAGGGTGTACCCACCTGGCATGAATTGCATGTGTGTGTGTGTGTGTGTGTGCGCGTGTGTTTTCTACACTGCCTGTGTATTGTGTTCTTTTTTTTTGTTTGTTTTTTGTTTACAGTGCCGTCTGCATGACTGGCCATCCAGTGAGGGACGGAAAGAGAGAGAACGAAAGAAAGAGACAAAGGTTTCCCAGATTGTTTTTTAAATTTATTTTTATTTCTAAGAGCAGAAAATATTGTAAAGATCTCTGAACGCCAACAGAAAGAAAAGGTTTGTACATAAAAAAGTGTTTTACAAATGAAAAGAAAAATAATTTAAAAAAAAAACTACACCTTGCTCCATCATACAATTTTTTTTTTCCTTTCCTTACTGCAGTGTCCAAGGCTTGGTGAGGCTGAGCGAAGAGGACAACGCCTGGGCTCCAAAGGCACGAGTCGGCACCCCACCATAGGCAGTGAAACCACTCTATCACTCTGTCAGTTGTAAAACACCAAAGTTTGAATTGTATAATCGGCAGAGGTTGGAGAGTGTTGGAGTTGTCGTGTCATCTCTAAGCCAACGTGTTTGTAGAGTTGAGAGTGCATCACAAAATGTGGACTCGATATCACTGACTGTACTAGGTCCTGTATGATTATGTGTTTCAATCTGTCTGTGCAAAGGTTTATGTATATATGATCCTGTAAGGGCTGGTGAAATAAATAGAGACCAAACTGTTTCCAATATTTCATATTACTTTTCCTCTGTTGATGTGTGGGTTCAAGGGCGGAAAATATTGTTAGGATGCTGTCTTAACGCCAATGAGACTATATGTTTTGTAAAAGATAAAGTGCTATACAAATAAGATAAAAAAAACAATGTTTACTACAATGTGCAACGCACAATTCCCAAAAGAAAAGTGCAGTGTGTGTCTGAATAGATCAAGATTATAGCAAGTTTAGTCACATCTCCATAAAACCGTACTACACCTACATAAAACTTGTACTACTAATTAATCCTTGTCCTAATACAGCATTACAACAATAACTACTAAAACAACAACAAAAATAAAACAATACTGCACTGCAGCCATGACTCGCGAGATTACCGCTATTCAGGTCATGCAACAGATGTTGTCAAATGCATTCTCTGATGATGCCAATCCCGATGAAGAAGCAGAGGATGTGTCTGAGGAGGAGGATTATGAGGCAAGTAACCAACCGAACAGGGAAGATGAAGAACAAGAAGAAGAGGAAGGAAAAGAAGAAGAAATGGTAATATTAGAAGACAAAGAGGAGCAAATGGAAAGAGAGGTAGAAGAGGAAGGAAGGAGAGCATGAAGAAGAAGAAGAAGGAGTAACAGAAGAAAGAGAGGAGCAAATGGACAGAGAGGGGGAAGACGATGAAGAAGAAGAAGAAGAAGAAGGGGTAATAGCAGGAGAGAGAGAGGAGCAAGCGAAAGAAGGTTTGTTTTTTCTCTCAAAACACGACAAAATCATATGGTCCTCCATAGCGTACGATAAACAAGAGCAGGGTAGAAAAGACAAGGGCGGTGAGGCTATGCTGCCCCCGTCCCCGCTGATGCAATCATCGCTGTTACCGCCGACAACCGGCCCACCCGAACCGACTGAATATTCTCTCGTCCACGCCCGCGACATCGCCTCCACTTTTTTCATGTTCATCACCCCGTCGATAGAACGCAAAATCTTGGAGATGACTAATTTGGAGGGGAGACAGAAAATTGGAGATGGCTGGAAACGCATGGATGCACCAGACACACCACTGACAAACTGGCGGCCATAAGAGAGGTCTGGGACACGTGGTCTGAGCAGCTGCCATACCTCTACACCCCCGGGCCGTAGATAACGGTGTACGAACAGCTGGTTCCGTTTACAGGGCGTTGCCCCTTTCGGCAGTATATTCCCAGCAAGCCAGCGAAATACGGGATCAAGACATGGGTGGCGTGTGACTCTAAAACCAGTTACGCTTGGAAGATGCAAGTGTACACAGGGAAGGCCATGGCCACAGATGCAGATGCAGCTGCAGCTGCGGGTGGTGGAGGAGGAGGAGGAGGAGGAGGACGACGACGACGACGACGACGAGAAGACTCGGGCCCATGCGCAGGCCACGACCCGGAAAAGAACCTGGGGATGCAAGTCTTGCACGATGTCACCGAAGGACTGAGGGATCGCAATGTCACCTGCGACAATTTCTTCACCTCTTACGAACTCGGGCAGCAGCTGCTGAAAAGGAAGATGACCATGGTTGGCACCGTTCGAAAAAAGAAGCCTGAGTGGGAGCTCGGGCTGCTCTCGCTGAAAGGAAGAGCGGTGTTCTCATAGAAATTTGCCTTATGTGCCCAAGAAAAACAAAAACGTGCTGCTGGTTAGCACAAAGCACACGGAGGCCGAAGTCACTGATTGCCACGACAGAAAGCCGGTCATCATACTAGACTACAACCGCTGCAAAGGAGGTGTCGATAACCTCGACAAGGTGATTGGAACCTACAGCTGTAGAAGGATGACGGCTCGCTGGCCCTTGGTCGTGTTCCACAACATCGTTGACGTTTCCTCCTACAATGCCTTTGTGATATGGAGAGAACTAAACCCTGAATGGATGCCTCAGAAGCGGAACAAGAGAAGGGTGTTCCTAGAGCGGCTGGGAAAGGCGCTGGTGACTCCGTTGATAGAAAGAAGGGAGCGTCTTCCTCGCACAGAAGTGTCAGCGGCAGTTGTCCGAGGCGTTCGGAGGGCCGTGTCTAGATCTAGAACTCGCGGTGAGGGTGAGGATGTGGAAGTAACAGAAGCCGCCGGAGCGGCGTCAGGAGCAGATGACCCGACCGGGGCGAGGAAGAGGTGTCAGTTTTGCCCACGGGCAAAGGACAACAAAACTTCCACTGTGTGCAGTGGGTGTAAAAAATATATCTGCAAAAGTTGTTCACTTCCATACCGCGCTGAGTGTGCTGCTGAGAATTTTGAGACAGATTGATTGACACCACACACACACACACACACACCCTATCTATCTATCTATCTATCTATCTATCTAATTAAACACAATTGTCATTGGTCATAGTTCTGTATAATTTTTTCCAAAAAGAAGACGACAAAAAAATATAAGGTTTGGGATTATTTTATATTAAAATTAAAATGACATTATTATTATTATCATCATTATCATTATTATTATTATTATTATTATTAATTTTATTATTATTATTATTATTATTATTATTATTATTATTACTATAATAATATTATACCTACCTACCCACTGGGCTTGGGGTACAAATGACCCCACATCTAGTTTGTCAATAACATCCAACCTGGCCTATGTGTGTGTGAGTCTAGCCTGCCTGCCTGCTTGGGTGTGTGTGTGTGTGTGCACGCGTGTATATATTTCAACATTGGGGAGCGTGTGACCAATGAGACGTGGGATGTAGGTCTTAACTTGAAGACAACAGGAGGGATAAAGCAGGGCTAAGGCGGGATCTGCAATGAGTGGGAATAAAAGGCTTTGTCTCTTTAATTTTGCCAAATGTCGGTCCTTCGGTCTAATATGCAGCATTACCTTTTTTATTTTAATAATTTTTTTTCAAAATTATAAAGTCAAACAGGAGAGGTGCTGTGCGCAAATTATGAACATAGCCCAGTGAAAGTCGGCTATTCCTATTAGTTAGAGGGTCTTTTTACGCACAGCTGAGCTCTCACTTATCGGGTGATAAATTGAGCCATCAGATAAAATGACTTTTTCTTTTTTCTTTTCTAATACATTGAAACTGAGTCCTTCATTCAGTGAGAAGGCTTGGAGAAGCGAGATTTCCTTTATTCTGCATCCTTTACGACATTAATTACTGCTCTTGGCGCTGCGCCAAGCCAGGTGTTGTGCCGTAGAAAGCACCCCCACCATAGAATGCACCCCCTGATGGGAGCGCGCCTCCGTCACTCGGTTCGAAAAGTACAGCAACAAGCTCGAGTTGCCACAATATAAAGCGGAAAACTACTTCGTTTTTTTAACTTTTCTGGTGAAGGGACTGCTGGGGAAAGGAACAGATATGTGTGCATTTCAAATAAATCACAACACAAGTCGCCATTCTTTTCTTCTTCCCCGAAACCGCATTCTGTAGCAATAGTAAACTCAGCTGTAATGACCCAAGGAGCCGGTTGTAAGTACATAACAAGGTGAAATAATCCAAGTTTTCCGTACCACTGGATGGATTCAAAAAGGTGTGCCTTTAATGATTTCATTCAGCCTATGCAGAAAGACCTTAAACAATAGCCCTCTGATTCGGAATATTTGCTGTCCCGAAAATATAATGTTCTCTACCGCGACAGATTGCTGTACAGTTTCTATACCCAAGTACTCTTATATGTGTACATTTTTGAGAGACATAAAAACGGAAAGAATATTTGACATGTTGTCATGATCCAATACTCGTGTTTTTTTTTCCGTATAAGATCATTTTCTTCCACTTATAGAGGCTCATGAGTGGATGGATAAATGAATAAATGGATGAGTCAGAAGTCGACAGATGACAATTCGGTTTTCAGACGCGTCATATTTGAACGTACACAACTTCGGCAGCAAAGAGTATCCAATTAAATGTGCCTGATGCTGAGGTACAATGTATGGAGAATACATTTAATGGCAGGCTGTTGAGACCATTGCTCAGAGATGCAGCCCCTGTCTTTCTCTGGCTAGGAAGGTCAGAGAGCCATGAGCAATTGCTGTAAATTTACAGCAAGATTTCAACAGTATCAACCTGTTTTTAAAAAATACAGTACTTTGCCGTTAATTCTAACAGGAATCTGTTAAATTACACTCCATGACTGTTTTTTTAACAGAACTATGCTGTAATGCAAAAATACAGTACTCCACCGTAAATAAATCATCTAATAACAGTATCATGTAGTATTTTTACGGAAGCAAGGAGAATCTCCTGAGCAGCACATGTGAGGCCAGAGCCTTGGTTTTCGTCATCCATCTCAATCCCAGTAATTATATGGTGAGTAGCAATTGCATTTACTGTAGAAAATGGCGCAAAGTCTGTAGGCCAGTGTAGGCTAAGTGAATTTTCCAATTTGTTTGCACAGATAATTACACTCGGTGCACATCATGCTAGCCAGATTTTGCAGCTAGCCAAAATGTCGAAAATGCTTGCAAATTAATCCAAAAAACACAGGGAGTCAACTTTAATTTTTACATCTGGAGCCTACAGAAATTAATGTGTGTGACATCTGTATTTTGCCTGTGAATTCATGAAGCTTTATGATAGTCTTAAACATTTTACAATACACACAATATACATGTCACACGACAGTTAAGTCAGTTAATATTAAGATGAGAGTGCACACTGACTGTGTTTACATGCAGTTACATTCCTCCATCTTGTACTAGGCTAATTGCACTGGCATGTGTCTGTCTGATGACATGATGGCAGTATAAATACCATAGGGCAGAAGCTGTGGTTGTATTTATTAAAAAGAGTGTTTTTTGCATCATTTCAAGTGAATGCTCATTTGTATTGATTTTGCTTTTTCTCTGATATTGCAGTAGACTACTTTTCAGCTGCCCTGATCCTAGTAAGTACTTGCCTGTCCATCACATTTCACAGTTGATCAGTTATTTTTTCAGACCTCAAACACTGAAATAGACAACTATGTAAACTGGTCAAAGAAGCTGTTTCTTCTTCTTCTTCTTCTTCTTCTTCTTCTTCTTTTTCTTCTCTTTTCTTTTCTCCCTGTTTTTGGTTCACAGTTTTACTCCAGTAGTTTATTGTTTATTGAATCATCACGGTCAAGTCTGTTTGGCTTGCAATGATGCTTTCTTGTCACATCTGTGGACATCAGTGTAGAAACTCAGTGGCCTATGTGAGACATATGAAAATTCACAGCAATATACCTAATATAGTACTGAAGTGTTGTATGCCTCATTGCAAAAGAACCTTTCGAAAATGTGCAGGTTTGAAAGCACATCTGTACAGAAATCATAAGAAATGTGAGACTGAGCCCAGACTGAGTAGGTCAGTGGACCTGGCATGCCATGTTGACTTCTGTACTGCAAAAAAGGATACATTGGCTGACTTCTATTCTCATCTTAAAGGGCACATCAAAGAAGGACGGACAGTTGCATGTCCTTTTAAGCAATGTAATAAGACATTTACTATGGTATCTACATTTACTTCTCATCTGTCCAGAAACCACAAAGAAAGTAGAGAGGGAATGATAGAGTCTATCATTGCTTCAGCAGGTGTAAGTGGAACTATTGCCACTCATGATGATCAAGATTTGCCCTGTGACATGCAGCTGATGATTCTGAGCATTTGGAGGTCAGCCCTGAAAATATTGATGATACATAGTTTTTGAGGAATCTTGCCCTCTTTTACCTTAAGCTATAAGCAAAGATGCTGCTTCCTTCATCCACTATTCAATCAATCATTGAAGATTTGCAGTCAATTCATGACATCAGCCAGTCACAATTACTTTTTAAACTGAATGAAAAGTTGAGTGTGCTTGCAATTCCAGATGATGCCATTAGGACTTTTATTGATGATTTGAAAGCAGAAGATCTTTCCTGCATTCACAATGCCCACACATTGAAAACTGATCAACAAAGGAAAACTGTTTTCAAAAAACAATTTAATCATGTTGCACCAGTGCCTATATGTCTGGGGCAAAATGAAGCAGGCAAAGAGTGCTTTGCACAATATTTCCCCATTAAACAAACACTTGAAGCTGTTTTTCAGTGCAAGTCTGTAAGAGAGCAATACTGTGCAGTTCACACCCGTACCCAAATTAAGGGTGTATTTCAAGATGTGTGGGATGGGAAAAATATTACAGAGAACCCACACCAAACAGAGGGGTCTTTACACTTGATCCTTTATCAGGATTCTTTCGAGGTGGTGAACCCACTTGGGTCAGGAAAAAAGAAGCACAAAGTACGAAGTACTACCAGCCCTACATCCACATGTATATATTTGATATAATGTCTCGCCATTTGCTTATAATGTCTCGTTAATCTGAGTGAGTTCCAACACTCCTTTTTTAGGCGCTTCATTGAAATAAATCCTGAGAGAGGCACCAAGGCTGGACGAGGCAAAGTGGTGTCCAAAAAAACAGGCAAAGTCACACAAAAAAAGACAACGACAGTCAACCCTCACGTTTCCAACCTGCCAAGGAGACTCATGGATTTTGAGTGGGACTTCATTTGAAATGGTGAGATAATTAGCTGCATGATTAGCTGAAGTATTTGGGAAATTAAGTTTTTTTTTGTTAGATTAATGGCAACCATGCTGCCAGGTTTTTACCGTTTTTTTACAGGAAAAGAAATTAAAAAACGGTTCATACTGTATTTGTAATGAACAGAACAATACCGTAAAATGAATCACAGTTGAAAGACGTTATTTTTTACAGTAGAATAATGGCAACCCTGCTGCCAGTTGATTACCGTTTTTTCACAGGAAAATTTCTAACAGTGAAAAAATACTATCTGGCAGACAGAACTATTTGTGTAAGCCTTGCTGGTCGTGAGTCCCGCCTCGCTCCTCTGTCTTATGGGGTTCCACAGGGCTCAATCCTTGGGCCCTTGCTGTTCACTTTATATCTACTTCCTCTGGGTTCCATTCTTAGAAAGCACGATATCTCTTTTCATTGAAATGGTGTGGTTGTTTTTAAGGCCTTGGTTTGAATGTTTGGATACTCAGATACACACGTTATACCAGTTATGGATGTCAGAAGAAGTGCATTGTCATTTGTATATAATAAAAATAAAATGAAAACTTCAATACCAAAATTACAGCGTTTGTTTTTATTTGTCAAAGACCATAATGGGAAGGCATATTATATTCTCACAATTAATGGCACATTTTTTAGATTAAACTCTAGAGTAAACTTGAATGAACCAATTGTAATTGATTTCACATTATTATGACATTAATATATGTTGAATTGCAACAATATCATCCAAAACCCTTCAGGATTATCAAATTG